TCTTCTAGGGTTAACACTTTGCATTAACATCACCAGGCAATCTGAACATTCTTTTTAAGTCGGTGTATGTGCACGTATCCTTTATCTTCTCACAAAAATGCTTCTTAAAACCTTTCTTTCTGGTTGCAAAGGTGATCTTGACTGTGTGTATTACTTTTTTTGTTGGAAAATTAAAATTAAGTACACCGTGTTTCTTTCACTATTTTTGATGGTTTCTACATCTATAATTCACTCTCAGAAAAATGATAATGTCCCTTTCCAGGGAGTCCAGAATGTTCCATGGAGTTCGACAAGGCAGAGTTGTGTTCATTAGGGGTCTTATTTCTAAAGGCTTGTCCAAAAAATGTAAGGGAAATCTCGTCCATTAAAACAGGCATATTAGCCTTGAGATGGAAAATTCAAATGCAAATGTGATATGCAGAGAGAGGAACTCCAGTGCTGAAGCAGTGATCAGTACCCAGACATTCCCAGTCGCATTCGTGATGGAGCATGGGCTTTCCTGCTCAGTTCCTTCTCTGTGCTTTTTGTTCCAGATGCATTTGAAAGTGAAACAGGAAGGAAGGTTACACTTCAGAATGTCTTAATTCAGCTTCGGAAGTGTGTTGCCCACCCGTACCTTTTCAATGGTAAGAAAGCTCTTTTCTCTGTCTTGAAATAGAAAAACATTCCTGATTTACGCAGTGTTTTTCTATTATTGCTTGGCAGTGTAATACTTAGAAGTAGCAAGTAATAAGCAGTGTTGTACTTGTATCAGTAGCAGCTGCTAGTTTGTGACCAGTTCCAACACATAACAGCTGAGAATGAGAAATGAAGTAGGGGACTGTGTGAAGTCTGAGTTTATTACTGCAGCTCTCACCTAAACAATGAAATCACAATGCTTTGTGAGCTACCAAGGGTGTTCTTTAGAGACAGAGGAGGGCAACTGCTTCTCAAGCAAACATCACAGGGCTCTACTTGGCAATAGTTAGCAGTACAAACCCACTGAGGTTTGCCACAGGGCTATTATTTGCATAGTAGTGTTAGGTGTGCTTCTGAAACTCCTTTCTTTTCCAGGTGTTGAGCCAGAACCCTTTGAGATTGGAGACCATATTGTTGAAGCCAGTGGCAAGATGTGCTTGTTGGATAAGCTCCTTTCATTCTTGTATGCTGGGTATGTCATGTGGGGGTGAGGAAGATAGGGTGGGGTTGACATAGGGAGAAGAGGTAAACTGGGAAGGCAAACTACCTTATTTAGCCATAGATGGAGCAGATATTCATCACAACGCAAACATTGCCCTATTTACTGCAAGTTACTGACTACCTGGAAGATGTAATTTCAGTATCAAGAGTTGCATTAGAGATGGTAGAGGAACCTCAAAGATTTTGTAGCTTCTCTGCAAACATTTCTCAAAACACTTCACTAACTCTCTCACATGTTCTCATATTTGGGAACCTGGGACAATCACCATCTGTCATGGTGTTCAGCATACTTGGTTTGACTGTGGGGCTTCCAATGCACCAGCTGAATTCCTTTGTGCTACCATGTCTGTGTTAATCTGGGAGACAGAATGCACAGCAAACATGAAAAATAAATTGGACAGGACTGAAAACCAAGAGCTTCAGCTTTGAGATTGACATTCAGAACTCCTTGTGTTGAGCTCTGGTAACTTCAGAACCTGGAACCCAAGCACCTTGGATATTTACTTCCAGCTCTCAGATGGGAGGCAAATTGAATGGCAGTTTGCATTATTGAACAGTATGTGAAGGAGTGCCTCCTGCATGATGCAATTTCTACCTTCTCTCTTAATTAAGCTGCATTTTCCCTTTGGCTACTTCAAAAGGACAGAACTTCAGCAGACCTTGGGAAGTTCTGGTGTGGTTGTGGAGGTCTTTGTTCTTCTGCTGTATAGCACCATTTGCATGGGTGCCTCTCCCTTGAATGCCTTTGCCCTGTGCAAATTCTGGACTTGAAGACCCCTGTGTTCTGCTTTACAGAGAAATCTGATTTAAACACAGCACTGTCTGAGGCCTACAGCTGGAAGGGAGTGGAGTTGATTCACTCACTTAATTCAAGATTGTAGGCAGAGTTTGATCTTTGAGGGTCATTTGCTGAACGAGGAAACACTCTACTGTCAGAGATGCTGCTATTACATTATTCCATCATTTGTCATGTGTGACTTGAGAACAGTCTGGTTTGGCCATGGTGGGGATGACCTCATGATGTTAGCTAGGTTGAGGCTGAGGATCCTTTTAGACAGGCTCCTTTGGATCCTCACCAGGCTGCATCCAGCCAGCAGCAGAGCTGTGCCAGAGCCTTGTTACCTCTCTGTGACTCCACACTCTAAACATTGCAACTGACAATGGCAGATGAAGCTAAGTGGTTCTATTGGGATGGAACCATTCAAAGCTGAAAATGGTGAGGGAATAATGGGCCATGGCTCTGTGAGGCTTAGTGTACAGAGGTAGTGAGGCCTTGCTATATAACAGTGATTGATTAAGCTATTGTAACCCTTCTACCACACTGAAATGTTGTCACAGTATGTTGAGGCTCATGTGTTTCATGTTCTTCTTTCAGTGGCCACCGTGTCTTGCTCTTTTCTCAGATGACTCAACTGCTTGATATCCTGCAAGATTACATGGACTATAGAGGTATGTTCTGCACACTTTGGCAGTAGAGGGCTTATGCTAAAGTACTCTGCCATATATAGTTCCTCTGATTTGGCTCATCTGCCTGGGACAAAGAAGGGGCAGTGATGAGTATTTATTACTACTTCTTTGATAAAAACTATGTTCTTGAAGTGATTCTACGAGTTGGAGGATATTGAGTTCAGCACTTTGTTGTGCTACCACCTGCCTGAAGTGAGCTGGCACTTAAATATTGTTCCTCCATAAAATGGAGCTAACAGATGTCAGGGTAGCAGTGTTTCATTATGTACTGTGTTTAGTTATGTACCTGAGTCCTGATGTAATTGCACTGAAGGCAGTAGGCTAGCTCTAGATTCAGTTTGTCCAGCACAAAGCACAACTTGGGCCACATTCATACCAGGAAATTAATTTTTGATTAAAACAGTTGTTGGCAGTGGGGCCCCAGCATCTCTGTGAGGGCAGGCTGGATTAGACCATTTTTGGCAAGGTTAGCAAAGTGTGCTTGGGATGTTTTCTTTTTGTTTCAGTCCACATGGCTCCATGCCTACTTAGGATTTCCCATGAAAGAGGCTTTTGTTTGGTGTTTATGGTTTTGGACAGCTAATAATGCAGGATAAAGCCAAATGCAGAGCCATATTCCATACTGCTTGCTCACAGGAAAGCACACATTGAAGGCCATGGGAGTTTGCATAAGGAGGATCCGATGGTTGTTGGCCTGTTTTGTGGGGCCAACAGCCAGCACAGAATAGTCTGAAATGGGACTCTACGCTGACATTCTTTTACTTTGGCTCTGAATTTTCCTGTTGTGTTTCCAAGCATTAAATTAAATGCTAAGAACCTCAGCTAAATTACCCTTTGCCGACAGTCAATCTGGAAGTCAGGGTAACAACTTCAGTTTATATGAGGTTTAACTGGGAAAGAATGAAGTAGTCTGAAGGCAGTAGAATGCGAATCAAGCCAGCAGGGTTTGCAATAAGAAGATTAGGACAGCAGGACGACAATAGAGAGTGAGGTAAGAGGGTAGGAGCACAGACAGAATTTCAGAAACAT